TACATCAAACCCTACTGTTGATTAACATGCCCTAATTAGATTAGGGTTTGGGGCTCCATGAATTTAAAGACAAAAAGAACCTGAAAAAATGGCACTCTTTTATTCTCAGTTTTATCTTCTTGCACATGTATAGGTTTTGTTGTTTCATTTATGGGTTCCATTGCAATTCTATTTGTATAATTCATTTAAACATATTTTGTTTTTCGACCACCCTCACATACATTTATGATTGTTGGTATCAATTATGTTCTTTATATTGATAATTAATAAAATATTTATCGAGATTGAATAACTACATATATATTAGATATTTTGAAAAATTATTGTATTATACATCAATGGTTTTAATTTTCATAAACGGACAATGTCTATGTGATATATCATTCATATTAAAAAAAAATTACAATGTATATTGTGTTATTAAAATATGAAGATATTAATGGATATATGTCAACACTGAGCAACATCAATGTTGATATTGCTAGGTTATAGGTATTTATTTTAGAAGATACATAAAATTTAAAAGAAAAAGACAAAAGTTATGAACAGCTTCTGCCACTAAAATGCCAATATTAGGGGCCAAGTTCTTGGCACAAGAAGCAACAAAGAAGAGGTAATGTTTGTGCTCGAAGGCACAGAAATGAGTCAATGATGATAAAATTGGGACTGTATTCTATATATATATATATATATATATATATTTCATAAGTAGAGTTAAAATATTTATTTATTATAATTGATTTTATAATTATTTTAAATATATCTGAATAGAATATATGACATGGTGTTGAATGGGTTTCCAGAGACAAGATAATTTTGCATTAAATTAATGAAGAAACAAACAACAAGTTATAAGATTGCAGGCTCCCTATGTGCAGACCTAAGTCCATGTTGGCAGGCTTAAGTTTAAGTCCAACTCTTTTGTATCTTAGTGGACTGACTGCCATGTTTCTGCATATTATTATAATCATAAAATTCATTGCCATCATTTTGATAAAAAGAAATATGTTATCATTACCATTGCACAAGGACCTGCTTTTTCTACTTCTTCAATGGATTAAGCTTAAGGGCAGAGAGAGGCAATAAAATAACATACTATTTTAATTGCGTACTTGAATATATCTTTAAGATTAAGCAAGATTAATTAAAGTTATTGAACTCAAGTTTTAGCTTTAAAAAAATGTTAAAAAGTTTGAAAAAAAAATAAACATAATACTTCAAAACAAACATAATACTTAAAAAATAATTTTGAACTATTTAGGAACATTCAACCAAGTTTTTATGTTTTTACTATATTCAATTAAACTCTTATATTTTTATTTTAAATCAAATAAATTTTTAATTGATTAATTATTTTTATTAATTAAAATATTATTTATTATTTTATATCACGTAATATTGATATGATGTATTAATATATTATAATAAATAATAACATAATATTTTAATATAGTATGATGACATATTTATATTTTTAATTAATAATAATTAATTAACTATTAATCACAAAGATCTATTTAATCCAAAATAAAATTATAAAGACTTAATTAAATGAAATAAAAGAGCTTATTTAATTTTTATTAAATAATTTAGGAAGTTTTTCAAATATTATGTCATAAAAATTTTGAGTATTCTAAATATGAGATATTGATCGTTTAATTGTGGAAATTTTATATTATTTACAAACTGATATAATTTTCATCTCTCTCCTCACAATGAATTCAGATCATTCTACAACATCCCTTATTAACAATTTTGATAAAAAAAATTAAATATTAAAAATGTTAAATAAATAAGGTGTTTAAGAAGTTAACAAGAAATGTAGCGGCGCATTAACATATAATTAATTTTGAAGTTTGTTTAATAATAGTAAGGGATCTTGCAGCCTCAATGGGGAACTGGCTGGACCAATATACAAAGTACAAATATTATAATCATAGATTATACGAATATAATAATTATTTTAATTTATAACTTATCACTCGAATCTTATGACTTTACGTACCACAAATTAAAATACATATATATATATATATATATATTTTATCTAATCCTCATTGTTGGCAAGCTATATACATATGTATATCTTTGGCTAATTAGCTAAGTAAGAAATTTTTGGATACCAACATGCATCGATAATGGTCCGTCAACTTCAAGCAATATAAAGCCTGGATGGAAGTGGAAAACAAAAATTATAATATTTGTTTATTATTATTTTTAATTTATTAATTTTAATTATCTCTTATTATTTATATTAGTAAAATTTATCTTATTTGCTAAATATGTAAGAATTCTAATTGTATTGAATGATTTTTATTGAAAATATATTTTTCTTACTTTTAATAATATTGTATAATTTATAGATTACAAATTTTAATTCTATATAATTAAAGCATTAATTTTCTTGTATATATAATTATCAGTCAATTATATATTTTTTGTTTATAGAGAAACAACTTTATATTTTAAAAATAGTTGTATTATATATATAAGTATTATTTAAAAATAAATAAAAAATAAATATTCATGTACATTCACGTGACAATAAATAGTAGTTTATAGAAAAAAAAAACTAGTAAAATGAAATTCAAATTTGATCAAAAACATATTGTTTAGGTGATGACTTGTTATTATTATTATTATTATATGAAAATTCACTGAATTTTTTATCGTATAACACAAGTTAACAACTCAAATTTGGTGAAGCAATTGCTACTCTCTTTAAAAAGATCAATTGAGATTCAAAATTAGAATTTTCGCTTTTCATATTGTACTTCTCATATGTACCAAAAAAAAAAAAAACCACGTGTTAACTCTTTCTATATGATAAACCATATTTCTTTAGATTTGCAAGATTTAAATTAAAAGGGTTATTAACTTATTTGTTGAGTCTATTTGAATATTATTTTATTATGAGAATATTATTTTTTTCAGAAGTCAGCACAAACGTTTATAAGATTTTTTACAATCACTTATTTGTTCAATATGAAATTAAAATATTTTATTTTCTTTAAAGTAAAAATGATTTATAAAATTCTAACATCTAATTAATGTCAATTTTTGAGATTCAAATTCAAATTAAAAACCTTTAAATTTGAAAATGATAAGGATTCATGACGGATGAGGGGAGATGGGAGAAACCTAGGCAGGACAAGAGTGGCGTCCTTTTTATTTTTTATTTTTAAGTAGAAAAAGGATGAGTAATGAATGTGGTAATAGAGAGGAGGTGAGGGTTATGAATTGGGCTTGTGATGGGTATTCGAGCCCAATTATTAACTGTTTTGACTTCATGGACCCAAGAACAAGTACATAACTATGGCTTTGGTGTCAGGGATTTACAAAATTTGATTGAGCATCCAATACACAAAACAAAATTACAATAACTATAATTCCAAAAATACCCATGAAAGATTAACTTCATAAGGGTATAAAAGAGTCTTTACACACCAAGATGAACCTATTTGTTTGCTTAAAAAAAGGTTTATGACATTAATGTGGGGATAATGTCTTGTGCGGCTGAAATTGGGTTAGAAAACCCTAATAAAAACCTTAATTGAAACCAGTGCCCTTATTTATTCCTCTCTCTCATGTGACCCTTTTGCCCCACTCCCAAAACAAACCCACCATCCTTGCCTCGGTAATCAAATCATCCTCACCTTACTTAATTTCACCCCACAGTAAAAAATAAATAAATAAAACCCTTTATGTTTTTTTGCTCAAATTTCCCTTCTTAGGCCCTAGCCAGATTCTCCCAATAGAGTTTTCCTCTATTTGCACGCCAACCCTTTTTAATTACTTAATTAAACACTTTGTATAGTTTAAGTTTGAGAAAAAAGACATTGAAATTGGTTTGCTTGTTGTTAACCCTTTTGCCTTTCACATTCTCCTAGGCAGCTGCCTGCCTCTGCCTCACTCCTCTTGTCATCAAAGTCTTGTATTCCCAAGGCATTCTTTCTGCCCCAGGCTCTCCTCCATACCCAGGGATATATGGACCCTCAACACTGTTGATTCCCTCCCTCTCTTTTCCATATCACCTTCCCATTTTACCCTTTTTGAAAAAGTAGTAAAATTAATGGTTGGTGTTCATTTAGCTTCAACAATAAATGAATATGAAAAGCTAACATGGTAATTTAACAAAAGTGAGTTTGGCATTTGCACATTTTACCAAACATGCATTGCTGGCTAATATATTTCCAGTTCAGGGTAAGGCAACCATTGTACTGCTAATTACATTCTGCCAAATGCATAAAACTATGGGCATACAGCAGCTTATGTTAATGTAGGCTAACAGTAGCATTTTAGGTTCTACCACTAGATTCTGCCACTCTTCACCTGGTGGGGTCCAGGGTAATCACACGTGTACGGATAGGGATGAAGGAAACCAAGGATGCTTACAAATTTGGTCACCATTACGGCAATGAAGTGAACACTGCCCCCCAGTTAGAACATGGTAGCTTCATATAATAAGTACTGTTGAATTGAAATGTTTGGGGCAATACGGGCCAATGAAAATAGCTTGTGGCGCCCAAATCGCTGCAATAAAATAAGCATTGGAGTTTAAATGCCATAGGAAATGGAGTCTTTCAAAGTCTAAAACTCTAGCTGACAAGCAAGGCAACACAACACACTCATCCTTCAAAACCTTCAAAGCTAATTATCAGCTCCAGCCACCACCACTCTCTTTTTAACTGTCAACCCATCGCTGCCACCGCCTGCACCACCACTCAAGGTGCATGCCGTCGCAGACCTTGGCTTTAAAGCTGCTCACCAACCACCATCGCTGCCATCACCACCTGTCTTAGCTTTTCTTTGTCTTTGGTGCCACCACCTGGAGGAGGGGACCTCTCTTTTTTCTTCGTTGGTAATGTTTTCTTCACCATCAGTGCTTTGACTTGGTGTTCAATATAAGCTTGCAATAGAAGGTTATGGCACTTATCTTTTTCCTTGGTGTTCACATGCATGGTTTCATCACTAAATGTGTGTTCAACAGTTTGGTGTAAACTGTAAGCAAGCCTCACGTCCACAGGAGCCTCTCTCACATGCATGTTGTCTCCTCCTAGAAGTGGACTATCACTTATCACCATCACGTCCACCAAGACCAAGACACACTCACCAACCTCTCTTCTCTCAACCCCATTATTTCTTCGTTTTCACCCCCAAGCCATTTTCATAGCTCAAATGGCAAGGCCTAACCATTTTGCAAGGACCTATTTCTTGTTCTTTCTGTTCCTTCTAAGCATAGCCATGAGTAGAACACTTTTTGTCACCTCCCTTTCACCTGACGGAGAAGCACTCCTCTCTCTTTTAGCAGCTGCCGACCCATCTGCAAAAGCATCCTCATCAATTCTCTTCTCATGGAACCCCCAAAGCCAAACGCCATGTTCCTGGCAAGGCATAACATGTTCTCCACAAGACAGAGTTATCTCCCTCAATCTACCAAACACATTCCTTAATCTCTCTTCTCTACCGCCACAACTTTCCTCTCTTTCTTCCTTGCAACTTCTCAATCTCTCCTCCACCAATATTTCAGGAACAATCCCTCCGTCATTTGGTCAACTTACTCATCTTCGCCTTTTAGACCTCTCCTCTAACTCTCTCTCAGGTCCCATTCCTCAAGAGCTGGGCCAACTTTCTTTACTACAGTTTCTTTTCTTAAATTCAAATAAATTGGCTGGCAGAATTCCTCAACAACTAGCTAACCTCACTTCACTGCAAGTCCTTTGTCTACAAGACAATCTTCTTAACGGCTCAATACCATTTCAACTGGGTTCCCTGGTCTCTCTCCAACAGTTCAGAGTAGGAGGCAATCCTTATCTAACAGGAGAAATTCCTTCACAGTTAGGACTACTTGCCAATCTTACCACATTTGGCGCTGCGGCCACCGGGCTTTCTGGTGTGATACCACCGACATTTGGCAACTTGATCAACCTCCAAACACTTGCTCTTTATGATACTGAGGTATTTGGCTCAATACCACCTGAACTGGGGCTATGCTCAGAGTTGAGGAATCTGTATTTGCACATGAACAAGCTCACCGGTAATATTCCTCCTCAATTGGGTAAGCTGCAAAAGCTTACTAGCTTGCTTTTATGGGGTAATGCATTGTCAGGTTCTATCCCAGCTGAGCTTTCGAATTGTTCATCACTTGTTGTGCTTGATGCTTCTGCTAATGATCTTACTGGTGAAATACCTGGTGACATTGGAAAGCTAGTAGTTCTTGAGCAACTTCACTTGTCTGATAATTCGCTAACTGGGTTGATTCCTTGGCAGTTAAGTAACTGTTCGATTCTGACTGCTCTTCAACTTGACAAGAATCAATTATCCGGTGCAATCCCATGGCAGGTAGGTAACTTGAAATACTTGCAGAGTTTCTTTTTGTGGGGAAATTCAGTTTCTGGAACAATACCATCTTCTTTCGGGAACTGCACAGAACTTTACGCACTTGACCTTTCAAGGAACAAGCTTACTGGTTCAATACCAGAAGAAATTTTCAGTTTGAAGAAGTTGAGTAAGCTTCTGCTTCTGGGAAATTCTTTATCAGGAGGGTTGCCAAGAAGTATTGCAAATTGTCAGTCACTGGTGAGGTTAAGGCTTGGAGAAAACCAGCTTTCAGGGCAGATACCTAAGGAGATTGGCCAGCTGCAGAACCTAGTCTTCCTTGACTTATACATGAATCATTTCTCCGGTGGCCTTCCTCTTGAGATTGCCAACATCACAGTTCTTGAGCTATTGGATGTGCACAACAACTACATTACTGGAGAAATCCCATCTCAGCTTGGGGAGCTTGTGAATTTAGAGCAGCTTGATCTCAGTCGAAACAGCTTCACTGGAGAAATTCCACCAAGTTTTGGTAATTTTAGTTACTTGAACAAGCTCATTCTCAATAACAATTTACTAACAGGGTCTATCCCGAAATCCTTTCGAAATTTGCAGAAACTTACTCTGCTTGATTTAAGCTACAACAGTCTTTCTGGTGAAATTCCACCTGAAATTGGTTACGTGACAAGCTTAACAATCAGTTTGGACTTGAGCTCCAACTTGTTTACGGGTGAAATACCAGAATCAATGTCTAGTTTGACACAGTTACAGTCACTTGATCTGTCTCATAATATGCTACATGGGAGAATTAAGGTTTTAAGTTCCCTTGCTAGTCTTACTTCTTTGAATATCTCCTTCAATAATTTCTCAGGTCCTATTCCCGTAACACCTTTCTTTAGTACTCTGTCTTCCAATTCTTATCTTCAAAACCCGAATCTATGTGAATCTATTGATGGTTCTACTTGTTCCTCACGTCTAATTAGAAAGAGTGGATTAAGATCAACCAAAACTGTTGCTTTGATCTCTGTGATTCTGGCCTCAGTTATTATAGTTGTCCTTGCTTCATGGTTTCTAGTTACAAGAAATCATAGGTATATGGTAGAGAAATCTGCAGGAGCATCATCCTCTTCACCAGGGGCTGAAGATTTCTCTTATCCATGGACCTTCATTCCATTTCAGAAGCTCAATTTTACGATTGATAACATCTTGGACTGCCTTAAGGATGAGAATGTCATTGGAAAAGGTTGTTCAGGGGTTGTTTATAAAGCAGAAATGCCAAGTGGGGAGTTGATTGCCGTAAAAAAGCTCTGGAAAACTAAAAGAGATGAAGAACCTGCAGTGGACTCTTTTGCAGCAGAAATTCAGATTCTTGGACACATTCGGCACAGGAATATTGTCAAGCTCTTAGGTTATTGTTCCAATAAAAGTGTTAAGCTCCTTCTATACAACTACATACCCAATGGTAATCTGCAACAGCTTTTGCGGGGGAATAGAAACTTGGATTGGGAAACCAGGTACAAGATTGCTATTGGATCTGCTCAAGGTCTAGCTTACCTTCATCATGATTGTGTACCTGCAATTCTTCACAGAGACGTAAAGTGCAATAACATACTACTAGACTCCAAGTTTGAGGCTTACCTAGCAGATTTTGGTTTGGCAAAACTGATGAACTCTCCAAACTACCACCACGCAATGTCCAGAGTAGCTGGCTCCTATGGTTATATTGCCCCAGGCAAGCATTTCTAATTACAGAACTTATTCATTGCATTTCATTTTATCATAACTTCGTATGATTAGTTCGAGAAGTGCACTCATGCCTGTATGTTCAGACATAGTTCAAGAAACCTGTTTGACTATAATATTGTAAAACGGTCTTTAACTTGTTTGAGGTCTTTGATTTCATTTGTTATTATGTTGTGTGACATTTAGCTACCAACATATGCTAGTTATTTATTCTTATTCCCGTGCAAGTGTCCTCCGTTTCAAATCTGACAAATGCCCATTATCAATGCAGAATATGGTTATACAATGAACATAACTGAGAAGAGCGATGTCTACAGTTATGGAGTGGTTCTGCTGGAGATACTAAGTGGGCGTAGCGCAGTTGAATCTCAGGTGGGTGACGGAATGCACATTGTTGAGTGGGTGAAAAAGAAAATGGGTAACTTCGAACCAGCAGCATCAATTCTAGACACAAAGCTTCGAGGATTACCAGATCAAATGGTTCAAGAAATGCTTCAAACCCTTGGAATTGCAATGTTTTGTGTCAACTCTTCACCTGCAGAACGGCCAACCATGAAGGAAGTGGTGGCACTGCTAATGGAGGTGAAGAGCCCACCTGAAGAATGGGGAAAGACTTCTCAACCTCTAATAAAGCAGTCCTCAAATCAAAGTTAATTTTGTTCTTTTTACTCTCTTTTAAACTCCAAGAACATCATAGATTGCTTGTCTTTCCTATCGCAAGATAAACAAAGGAGTGGTGCCATTATGGGAAAGAAAGGATAGAGATATTGTTGGATTTGGGTGATGGTCTTGGGGTCTGTTGTACAGTTTTTAGAATCATCAACGTTGCTGATCTGCTCTCAGTGCCTCTCCCTTTTTGTTTTCTTTCATTTTGCTAATGGATCGTGTCACACTTAGCAAATCTTTCAGCCCAATCCTTGTATTCAGTTAGTTGCTGAATATCAGCTGCATTCCAGAGTGAATGGTGATTCACAGCCTTCCATTTGAACAATCCAACGCTTCAATTTTATATCCAATCCTTTGCAAGGTTCCCCAAATTTCTGCCCGAGTTTGAGCTTACTTGTCATTATAAAATCAAATTATAATAAGAACAAAGTAGACGATTTTAATCATCCATATACAGAAATAGTACATTTTACTTAATAGTACTGGCACAAAATGGGAACACTTTTACAACAAAAAATTTAAGAGTGAAGCATAACTTTGCAAATCTTAAGTTGAATCTCCAAGTAAATTAGATTCAAGTGATACTAATCTTGTGAGATAACGTAGATATAAGCTACGAACTGGGGAGGTAGAGACACAGAAAGTTCAATGATCAATCTTATGCACAGATGAATAGAAACCTCAAAACCTGCGACAAGTGATGTAGTTATTGATAGTTGATAACTCTATTATATAGAGTTATTTTGATACATTTTGAGAGCTTAAGTAGCTAGATCTTTGAGATTTTAGGTTTGGATTTTAGCGTTTTAGGTGTTTTTTTAATTTAAGATTGATTACTTGGTAAGTGACTAATTTAAGTTATTTTAGTTAAATTTTATGTTGTTTTATTTTAAATTATTTTAAGAGTAGTTATTGCTAATTTCTCTTATGACTTTTGTAGAAAATTGATGAAAAAGGCTCATTTAATGAAAGTCAGTGCAAGTATAGTGATGACTTCATTTGTATATGTTTCAGTATTTTGACTATATCTCTTTCTAAACAACTCCAAATGAGGTAATTCTTGGACCACTAGAATTATAAGAAAAAGGCTACAACCCTTATTTTTATCAATTCACCCATTTCTGATTGGATTATGGTCAAAATATTTGTTAAATTCGGGGCACTGAAGCAGTACGCAAGGATTGGATATGATGCGGTATTTGGGGCATATCTTTCAATCCAGGAGTCCAATTGATGTGATTCTTGATCCATTCAAAATTTCAGAGACAAGGCTAAAACTTTAATGTTTACCACTTTACCCAGTTCGAAACATGTCAAGGTGAAACTTACGTTTGAAATTGACAAACTGCCATAACACTGGGAGAACAGGGTTGCAACGTTGATGAAAGGAAGCAGACATACAAATTTTCAGAGAGCTCAACGTTGTAGCGCCGCAGTGTTAGGTGACTTTCCAAAAATAAAAGAAGTTGACGGGATTTTGAAAATTAGGTTATTTGGAGCCTATTTAAAGGATTTTTTTCAGAGATTTTGAGGAAGAGGCAGCAAGCAATTATTATGGAGATTGGAAGCCAAGAACAAAGCAAGAAAATAAGAGAATTAGAGAGAGAATCAAGATCACAAAGCTCTAATTATTAGTTTTCTTTCTTACCTTTGTGTTTTTCTTATTTTCTTTGACTTGGATTCATGACTAAATTTATTTGGATGTTGTCTTTGTTAGATATTATGAACTAAATTATTTTTCTAGGATTGCAATTGAACTCATATGTAATCTAAATTTTTAATATCTTTCTTGCTTATTTTCAATAGGATTTGAATTGTTTATTCTAATTTGTTCTTAATGCTTTTAACTGCTTGGTCACCAATTAAATTAATTTAAGAACTTAAACAAACTTGGAAAAGGGAGTTTAGTGCAGATTAAAATTGGGATAGCATATAAACATATTATTTGATTTGCGTATAAGATAGGGATATACCTATAGGTCATATGTAGCCAGATTAGAGTCCGAATTTAATGAATTTATTTTAATTTCAATTCACATAGGGATATCATGTTTTGGTTAAAATAGATATTTTTAGAAAATGAGTCGAGAGACCCTTATAAATAATTTAGGACTCTAGGTTAGCAATTCAACAGATTAAAATAAGTTAAGAAAGAGAGGTAAGATTTAAATAAAGTGTGAGGGATATTGTAATCCTAGGCTTGTTTGATTTGTTGTTTGCCCAATTATCTTGTTGCTTTAATTTTTAATTAAATTAGTTTTAGTTACGTAATTTTTAGTTCAATTAGAATTTAGATTTTAATTATTTAAATAAAACTAAATTGTTCTAATTTCAATACTTAGTAAAATTTTAGATCAATTTTCTGCGGGATCAATACTTTGCTTGCTAATATCCTATTTATTCGATAGGTATACTTGTATAGTGAAATTTTAACTGACAATAGCCTTTAATATTAAAGTGATTTAAAAAGAAAAAAAAAAAGGGAAGGGCACTGTGATGCATGCAAGTATTGAAATTAGGCCTTCAGATGAATAGAAATCTAGTAGAGGGTAGAAGGGAGGACGAGAAAGGAAAGCCTTCAACAGCATGCACGTATTGGGAGTAGGCCCTGTGATGCAGCTGAAAAGCAGACAGCCAGAAACAGGCCATGCTTCCCTCCCTCTATCCCACATGCCTAAGCAGACAAATAGATTTGTCCCTCCCCCCTCTGGTAATCTTAGTCTTCACTTTGGTCCATCACTCTTTATAAATTTTTAGTGCTTTTTTGGTCCAAATGGAAGATCTCTGCTAATAAGCGACCTAATAATCAGCTCATTACAACGTCCCCACAAGCCTCCTCTCTGCTCTTCCTTTCTCTTTTACATTCCCTTTCTAATAAAAAAACAAAGCGCTCAACAGTTGTTGTTCTGTCTGGACTAAGCCTGACACTGACAATACAATATGTGAGGATCTATGATGAGTTCAACAGCCTCTTTTCTTTTCCTTTGTGTTGAGGTCGATTGAGATTTGATGACCATTTTCAATGAAAAGTCCAAAAGAGCGATGGAAGGCTGGTCCCTACCACATGGGAAACCAAGGCCTGTTGGCAACAACAAACCTTCCCTTCATGATCTCATCCAACCATTGTCTTTTTCCAGTCTTCTTCAGTCAATTTCTTGTTCAAGATATGTCGGGTTTTGCAGCTTTCGGTACAAGGATCAAAACGTGCGGCTATTGCCGATATGCGTACTCAGGACCATCCATGTTGGTAACAGTTACCTAGCAGCCTTTTCCTTTTATCGACTCAAGTCATGAAAGCCTTATCGATACGCCCCCGCTTTCCAATTTTCCCCCATCATGGGCTTTCATCCCCACTCATTTCCAGCAAACCAACATGGTTTTGGAACAGCATTTGGTATTTGTTATCACAAATAGAAGGAACCAACACTTGGTACCCGGAAAGACTTGAAACAAATCTCCTTTCCCCCACGTTCTCTCAGCAATCAAACGCTTTATTCTCTTTATTGTGGTATTCTGCTTGAATTAGTTGTTTCAATGTGCATGTTCAGATAAACCTACAGGATTTGTTGGCAAAACATGATTTGAGCATGCAGACTATCAAATTTGCGAAAAATAAAAGCAAATTATTGGCTATTGACTGAAGCTTCAGAGATGTATGTGGTTTGGCAGAATTAAACAAATGCAAGGCATGTGCAGCGACAGACCCTGGCCTCTAATCAATTGGAATATCAATCCTAATCACTCCTAAATGTAGACCAAGATCACTTTCATGAGCTTGTAAAGGCTCCAAGTCAAGCCCTAGTGATGATTAATTTCTATTATCAACCAAAGACAGCCAGAGATCAATGAAAGCAAATGCATCTTCACAACACAAGACTGATATCAACTTTTGTTACTGGCTTACTACCAGTTGGGAGTTATAACACGTTCTACCTTGTTATAAGCCATGCTGATTTCCACCCAGACATTACTTTGAAAAGCTGAGTGAAGAACAGGAGACAAAATCAGCAGTAGGGGTACAAAAGATCGTAGACAGATGTTGTACCCCTGAATAAAACTAGTAGGAGAATCTTGTCACGGAGTAATTCAAATAAAGAATGATGAGAGACCCTTTACCACAAATTATTAAACCAATAACAAAACTTAGGAACAAAGATTTTAACAAGGACTGCATGAAAGAAATACAAGGGGAATGGTACAAGAAGTCCACAGTAGACTTATACACTAGCTATCTGAGGTCAACTAAGAAATCTGTATCATAAACTTCTATGAATTGACAACAAATCCTGCGTCAAAGGTGCCAGGGGAAACGCAGACACAGTACAAGGCTGATGCCAAGAGCCTTGTTATCACAGTGAGGACTCCTACCTGAAGAGCCTTGTAATCACCAGTCTCCTCTCTCATCCTCTGGACCCTCCCTTTCCAGTTATTGTCTCAGATCATCTTCTGAAACAAAGACACATCCTCGAAGCCAGTCTGATTCCTCAAATATCTTTTGATTCAATTGAGAAAGAGGTTCTACCAAAGTGAAATTGTTTAAAACGTTTTTTATTACAAAGTGTTGTGTTTTTTACTTTTTGAAAGGTATGATTTCATTTCAAGTGGAAGAAGGTCGGCATTCAGCAGACAAGATTATGTGTCCACAGACTATAGGCCTAGAACCGTCGTCTCTGATGAACACAAAAGATCAGCATCTGGTAGTTGTCACCACCTTGAGACTCAGTTATATAATTACAAAAAAATAATCTCCTCCTGTAACCCAACCCCTCAACTCACATCCAAACAGGTCGACAGACACAAGATCCCTTCGATCAAAAAGATTTTCACTCAGCACTTACTCTTGGCCACCCTCTCGGCGGTTGGGAGAGAAGGAAACAGCATACCATCCTAGGTGACCCATGAACCATCCAAAGATCATCTCCGTCCGCTAATCGAAAAACCGCCTGCTCTCTTTTGCTTCACTTGACCCTTCGTTGTCAACTCCTTGCCATTTGTTATCCTCATTTTTTTGCAAAACATGACCTTGAGAGCTGGCCAATCATAAGAAAGAGTTCCACGCATCCATCCACTCACAATATTTGCTTTGGGCAACCAGAGTTGGTTCCCAAGGTGACCATCCATGTTGGAACAACAGGAACCATAAACAAGCGAAGAAAACCAGCAGCATCACAAAGAAAGAAAAACACGACAGACTTCCAAGGCTCAAAACGCCAAAAGATGGAGACAAAATAGAAAACTAGTAGAAAGATTTTCCAGCGGTCAGAACCACAATCGGCAGAAACCAAAAGAGAGATGAAAGCAAAGCATCAGATAGCCTCCACAATAAAAAGACGCCAGCTGCTCTCTGATTTCTAAGCTCAACGCCATCATCAATCACGCCCTCTTTCAACTTCGCAGCAAACCTCCAACCTCCTCCAAGAGGACCCAAACCTCATACTTTGCCCACATCAGATGCCTAAAGTCTCACCCACCTCCACTATTCTCAATCCCTCTCTCCCTTACAACGTGGTTAGCCGCCTATCAGGGAATGATCAAAGTTTCTCGAGTGAATTGAACCATTCATTGTGGCATGTATATGTGACAACACCGGAAGCTCAAAATCCTGGAATTGCAAAATCTACAACAAAAATCAGATTGCCGTGTGGACATTATACATCCATAATCTCCTCCTGCCACCCAAGTCCTAACCATTGTTAAACCAATTGCTCAAAAAGCATTACAATGTTAATTATAGATCATTTTTCACAAAAGTCCACTCTGATAATGGAATCATTGAGGTGAGGGAGCAACATGACAATTTAAATTTTAAAGTCCCTGATAAACCTTTCCACATGTTAACTCCAATGCATGCTCCGAGGCATCAGAAACCTTTCCAAACACAAGTTCAAACAGATTATCAAGAGGAAAAACTTATACAGTAATAATGCGGCAGCTATTACGTCCTTCAAGGAATCTAATGGATAATCTTCCCGAGGAAACATCCACAAATTACAAATGCCAGTTTGAATGAGGCTATATTAGGGCAACTTAACATGCATTAGCTCCCGTGCAAGGAAGAACCTAAATCCAAAACATACAATCATACCCACTGCAATCTATGGAGTTATCTGGTTTGACTTCCACTAATTAAGGCTTCTAGTTTGAAAGAAGCAAAAGTTTCTTAGCAAACTAATAATTCAGACTGATTATATTGACAAATGGCTGAGTATTCAAACTAAGTTTTTCATAAATCCTAAATCAAAGCTTCACTCATGTTCAGATAATGTGCTCATAACAGAACATTTGTTTACAGAAAACAGCCATTCATTTCTCGAACCATGAAAATGTATCAATTTGCTAGTTCCTGAGAAAAAATGGAATGCGCAGGGTATGTTACTCAGACTTGGGTGAGTATCCGATATGCATCCAACACAAGTTCATTTCGTTTCTTCTAAGGGGTGTGTGTCAGACACAGGTATCCATCTGACATGAGTTTATTCAATTTCTTCTAAGGTTTTCTTCATATTTGGCAGGTCTCTATACCCATGGCCATCGAACATGTGTCAGACATGCGTAATTCAAAGGAAAATGAAGGTTAGAGCAACATAACGTAGAGGTACTAAAGGCAAGCAAGAAAATCAATAATTGAGTGAAGAGGAAATTTTCTATGCAGGCATTCAACATCAACCACAAATTCTTTTACAAGTTAAATATTATACTGAAGTGTGATTACTCTGACTGTTCAGAAACAGAGGCAAGAAAATCCAAAGGTCCTTTTTCTGAAGCACCTTAAATAAAGAGATGGCTACTTGACTAGTATAAACCTGGTATTATGAAGCTCTTCCTGGTGGTTCATAGGAATATAAATATGAAACGCCTAGCAAGGGTTCAAAGAAGTATGTGTCCCTTGTTGATAAAATCAGAACTCAAGCTACGATATACTGGTGAGAAAGAAGTCAACTTTTCAATGTTGAACATACTTGTATAACATAGTTTCAAGTTTTTAACTAGCATTAAAAGTATGGTTCATTTGCTTTTAAAAGTACTTATTGTTCATAATTTCAGAACAGTCATAACCTCAGAACCAACTTATACAACTGTTATTGGCAATATAGTTTTCTTTCTTCACGCACCTTTTTCTGCTTTCTCTTTCTGACTAAAGAAAAAAAATTCAAAAGTTCTTCCTCCTTGAGTTCATTCTTCAAATACCATTAAGCAAGTTATACATCGAAAAGGAAATCCTTAGAAAATGACTAATCTCTCAACATAACATCAAACGATGTTTGGTTTCATCATTCCAATATTACGTTGAGGACATCATATTATCCAGTTGTGCATCTGATGCTCTCAACTAGTCAAGCCAGGGTATCTACTGGTATTGCAGGTAAAGATAGCCAGAACATGGTAGCATTAAAATCTCCAAAACAAGCTGTCATATGATTTAGTAGATAGTAAGAGATTAAAATCCTAAAAGACTTCCTACGATGTGATTGGCAGCTTTCACTAGTGTACCAAATATGGCTGTTTTAAGTAAATCAGAGTTTATGATCATCTCTTCTTCATCCTCCTGGCTGAACAACTAGCTCTGGAATTCCCCTTGCCTATTTAGCTGGCTAACAATTCTCTATGAACAATTTAAACGTATTGCAACATTTCATGAATGCAAGTAATGCCAGATAGTGGTTTGAAGATTTGTTGTGATTAAGTGCCAGAAAAATGATTAGATGGAGAGATGCGTCATGTTGGACCAGGGACAATATTTATCCTTCAAACAAGGGACGGTAAAACCAAAAGTGGATAAAGTAATGAAACCAATCCGTGTTTCAATCAAGTGTGAAGATATAAAATTGCCCATCTGAACCAGCTTTATCAGCATGGCATCGTGTTTTGGATTGCTCTCCAGATAACACACAATATTCTAACCAAACCGCCCATGGATTTTACCTCATTGTTTAACAATCCAATTTGTCTGTGCTTATATATTTTCAATTAACATGATTTCACTTTAACTATTGCTCAATTTCGTGATTGTATTCCCCTGCAAATCCAACTAATACTTCTTAGAACTAGCAAAATGGAAAACCTGCCTATTTTGAGCAATTCTGCCAGAAGCCAATAACAAGTGCAAGAAAACTAAGAACTGATCCAAAAAAAAAAAAATCCAGATAAACAATAAGGATGCTATTATCATCTCATCATAGATGATACAAGTTTACAACAATTCTAAATACTTCCCTCTAAATAGTAGACATTTTCTTTTATCATCATCATCAAAATCATAATCGTAGAACGTAAAACGTATTAACCCGTTATTCAAAATGGTATCGTTTCAATCCAATCAAACGTCACCACTAAAATCACTAAACCCTCATCTCTATCAGGTCTGACAAATGAAGCGAAGCAAAGCAAAGCCAAAAAATTTGATTTTGAGGAAAACCCATTTGAACCAACCTCATCAATCATCCAACTGTTGAAGCTCCGCCTTTAACTGCTCAATCTTAAGCCCCATCGAACGTTGCAAAGCAGACTTTTCGGATTCCGGTAGCTTCCCCAAAAGCCCTTCAAACATGTTCAAAACCTCTTGAACAGCCGCACGAGCACACTCTGCTTCTTCATTGAAGTAAACAGTCTCTTTAGACTCCATTGCCATCTCTATCTCCTCTCTTGCCTCTGCAAACTTGAGGTTGATGGAGTCAACTTCCTTGTTTACGTCCAACCCAGATGCTGACTCATTACTGTACTTTCTCAGGTTCTGGTGAGTTGGGTGTTGCGTCTGTGAGGTTTGGAAGATTGGGTATTGAAAAAGATTGGGTTTTGAGTGGAAAAAAAGGGGTTTTGGAAATGGGACTGAGTTAACCAGCTTTGTTGGAACCGGTGAAAGCGAGTTGATGGTTAATGGAGATGCGGGTTTTGGAGATGATTGAAAAGGGTGTCTCAAAAGGAATTTGTAATGGGAAATTTTTGAACGATAAGGCATTTTCGGATTTTTCTTTTTTCACTTTAATTCAACACACAGAGGCGAAGAAGAACAAAGTAGAGGAAAGAAGAAAGTGTCGGGAATAATAAAAATAATTGAAAAAAAAAATCTAACCTTTTGAGAATTGATGTACTTGTTGAGAGTTGCGCTCAACTTCGTATACACAAAATAGTAAGGAAAAAAAAAAGTGTATTATAAATAAAATAAGGGTATTTATAAGCTTATAACTCCTAAATAGAATTTGAATATAAGATAAAAATAAAATTAAATCTTGTGTATAATAAATCAGTAAATTTAAGAATTCAAATCATATTAACATTTCTGAGAATGTGCAGACATTTTTACCCTATACGTGGGTTGAACTTTCTGTCTATTGTTCTATCTGACTTGTTTAATTTTCTGATTTCCATGAACCATTAACTTGATAAACTTGATCTGATACGAATTCTTAGACCGTGACAATGGAGAAGAAAGACAGAAATTCTAAAATTGAATATAAAATTCCAATAATAATTGGATCCAGCCCTAAATATACTATATAAAAACAAAGTGCATTTGCTTGTATTATGCTGCTTTATACAAATATTTAAGGAGAAATCTTTGTGGTTATGAGCAACCTTGCTTGGTTGTTGTAGTCCTCCAATTGGGATAGGTTCAACTGTTCTGGGACGAAACCGGCCACCATTAACCAAACCATCAACTACGAGTTCAGGTTAAAGCATCAAGGATAGCATGCACGTTACCAGTGAAGGTCAATGTTCACCTAAACCACACATGACCAGTCAGATTCTAACAAATCCTTCTACTTTCAACGACCCGAATTCTAGCAAAACAAAAGGCTATATAAATCTTCCTCACCATGTCCTGAAAACTCACTCTCAGGTTCCTTCTCATGGCTCGCCAACTTCTCTTCACAGCAGCACCACCCCTGAGCGCATCTCAAGCAGGTCTGGCTGCAGTTACTCTTCTTTTATGCGCTTTTGCATTCATCAAGTGTGCTTCTCACTCGCGTAAATTGCGTCGTCAGTGGAGAGCTTGTTATGAATTTTTTGACGAAGATCCGGTCATAGAAATAAACCATGAAGTTATGACCACCGGGGTTCATGGCTATCAACCTGATCAACCTGAAGATGTTGACAGGAGCACGTTCAGCGGTGGACAACCTGTTTGGCAGAAAAACATACTCATGGGAGAGAAATGCCAGCTTCCGGATTTCTCTGGGGTCATCATATATGATTCTGAAGGCAACATTGTAACCCCTCCCAAACCTGCTCACCCTCTACTCACCCGGAAGTAAGACAAGTTGAGGCGTATGAAGACTGTCGACTAGAACTTTCAAGTGTGGCTCTTATTTCCAAGCTAGCTTAACAAAGAGTTCCCTTTAGATGAATCTATATCAGGATAATGACAATATAGTAGAATCATCAGAATATCCTGTAAAACAAAGCTTTCTGGAATCTTTAAACCCGTACATACTGAATTCTGTACGTTGCAATTGATGTTCTGCTACTTTAAATATTATAAACTATGGCACGGTCACCGTGGAGGAAATCAATGCCTATGCAAATAAGAACGATTACATCCCGCCTCCATCTATGAATTTTCAGCACAGCACGCTAGTATAACTCCCACTTGCCACTAGGCTATATGGCATCCTCAGCTAACTCTTGAAGGGTGTATACTGTACGGACGATCTAGATGTATTACAACCAGTTCTTAGTGGTAAGCAAGATCAGAAAGATCTACAAAAAATGGAAATCTTTTTTTTTTTTTTTTTCATTAATGAAGTTTACATGCTAAAAGCCATCTGCAAGATCCAGAAATTTTTATCGCAATCAACTACGCCTAAATGAATCTGTCTTGCTAGAGGAAGCTCGCCCCCTAAACCCAACAACATTCAGTTTCTTGGCCGTAGAATTCACTCCACTGGACCTGTTTTTCTTTCCCACTGAAGATGCTTTAGCAGACTTCATATTTTTTGACACCTTAACTATTTTCTTTGAAGGTCTTGCTGGAGTAGGTGATTTTACTGATTTCACAATTGAGGGTTTTTTCCCTGATATGTGAGCAGACACAGCTTTAGTCTTGTTTTTCTGATTTGGCACTTTAATCAGTCTAGCATTCTTCCCCTTCTGCTCAATTATCTGAGCCCTTGCAATGTCCCTTCGGACATTTTCAGCAGTAAGAGATTCCAAACTCTCATTCTTTCTTATGGCCTCCTCAATCCTTTCAGCCAACAATACGTTCTTCTTAGCCACCAAACTTGTTACTTTACCTGAAAAGAGAAGATTAATTTTGCAATTAAATTTTCTATACGACTTCGAAAATCAAAATTGCAACAAACCTTAAGAATTTCTAAACCTGATAAAAATCCACTTTGCATCTAAGTGGAGACAAAGAAGATATGACGTTAGAAGCAAAATGTCGTAGTAAGATTCATGTTGTAAACTGATTAGTTTGTCCACTTAAAGATGCAATAACAGAAGTAATTTACAAATAGATACTTTTTGTTTTTGTGAGGGAAAAAGGGGGTCAAGGAACAAATTGATCCCCAAGGGGAAGGTAAAAAACTATCTATTGATAACAATAGCACTGTTGGTTGGGAATATGATATATAACTAAACATATCTTTTGGCAAATCTCCATACAGTATATTTTACCATTTGGTTGAAAGAAGAAATATCAAGATTGGTGAAGTCTATAAAGCAAATCATTAGGAATTTGAATGTGCAGCATCTCAAACTAACACCCATGGTGCATTCTTTACAAAGTTAAAATGACAATAACACTTACTTTATTTAAGTGAATAGAAAATAAAACAAGTAATGCACAGACTTGAAATGACCTAGTTACTGACCTTTGGCACCCATACGAGCTGTTCTCCCAGTGCGATGAAGGTAGTCAATCTAAAAGGCCAAGGAAAAGTAAAACCGAAGAGAATTAGAAAGAAAGGAGGAATAAGAGCAAAGGAGTTCAGGTTAGAGAAAAGAGCAAGCTAGGACTCTTAACATTTTGACCAAAGATATGATGGCTTACAGAGTTTAAGGGGAAATCAAACATGATAACATGATCAACATCCAAGTCCAGTCCCCTAGCAGCCAAGTCCGTGCAAACCAATGTGGGACAGTCTCCATCATCACTCTTGAACTTATTCAGGTTTTCAACCCTGTTTTTATATGGAAAACAGTTGGACTATATCCTTTGGACAAACATAGATGTGTAGGTGCTAGATCTAGATGTAATATCTCACCTTTGTTCTGCAGGCACTTCGCCATGGTAATTGACAGTAGAGATCTGATTTTCTCCAAGAAAATGATCCACAGCACGGCTAGAGTTTAATGTGTTACAGAACACCATCACCCTGTTTCCCTTAGCTAAGCTTGGCTCAAGAACCTATAATGGATAAGCAACTAAACCTATATAATTTACCGTACTTAGTCAGAATGCTCATATCACAGAACTAGAACAGTTTTGTTGTTAAACTTAAAATCAATTTGACATCTCAAATTTTCCTTATAAAGTTAATGTTGTCGAAGAAAATACTTCACTAATTTTTTAAAATTGGTTAAACAAACTATTGTTCAGAGAACATGCATCTCACTTGTTAACATCATTTCCCAAGATCCTGGCCAAGGAAAAAGAAAAAATAGAAGCCTTCATAGATTTTGACAACCAGAGAGTATAAGTCGGACAAAGATATACAATACAAACCAAAGGTAAGAGTTAGGAAGCAACTTCAACGTGACAGATTGCAAAACCCTAGAGTACTATTGTTAGCAGTCTGGCAATCTGAGAGAACAAATCCTCTGCAGTGGCGTTTTCTTATTCTACCTAGTGCATGCGAAAACTATCTACACCACATTCATATTAGGGAAAATTACACTTTACCCTCTATGATGAAGATCCTGTTTTAAAGCATTGCCATCCAATTTAAAACCTGTAGGCAATAGGTCCAAAGGTCCAAGCCGAATGTGAGACCACTACAAACTATAAACCTAATTAATGTAGGGTAACACTACTTAACAAAGCTCATATGTAGGCCAACAACTGACTGAAACATGCCTAACATGTGATCAACAAAACCAGAGCAACAAACAATTGAGCTCTGCTATCATATTCAAGTGTGGGTGTCCAACTTAAAACCAATTGGGAATAGTTGGAAAGGCCCAACTGAATCTAAGGCCAATACAAACTACAGATATAACTGACATGGCTTAACACTCATATTCAAGGATTTTTATATAGTTCTTATCCTAGAGGAATCCTCCTTGATGTCAAAACTACATTAACTAAGTTAAATTTAAAATAGCTTTGTAGAAACAAAATTGAAGAAATTGTAAAAAGAATTATAATCAAAACTCAAAAGTATTGACATGGAACTACTCCTTATTTTTGTGGGATCACCATTTAAATAAGAAAAGTTGGAAGTTCTACCAGATGAACCGTGTTATCAAGGAGATGCCTTCTTTTGCAACAATTGCATATGTGTATTAACTACATTTTTAAAAAGTACTATAATATTGTCCTCTTATTTTGAATAACACTATAAAATGGTCGTCTTGAGATTTTCTGCCGGAAATTCTACAATATTGAATGACATAACCACTATTCTTTTATTGCTCACAATCCACAAGTGAATGAGAAAGAACCACAGAAGTAGACCTGCAATAATGCTTCCAGCTTGTTTTCAGAACCTGAAAGTTTGATGAAATCATGCCGAGCAGATGCTATTTTCTTGTGCAGTGTTGATGTTCGTAGATGTTCTATTCCTTGAAATTCCTCGTCGATCAGCTTCTGCACTGCCTGGAAAATCTTGCAAATATTAATATCTCAAATTCTCAATAAACCAAAGCAAACCACTAAAAAGCAAGTTACTATGGACCTAAATACATAAGTAACTACACACTTAAATTATCTCTCAAGTGTTCATTAGAAAGTGGAAAGATTCAATGTTGATGGTTTGTCGAGAGGAAAACCTGGTGATGCTGGAATAGGCAGGGTACCATAAGACAAGGTAGGCTCTGTTAAGATAATGTTTTCTAAATCAGTTGGTCTTTATTGACTCAAATCTGGCTGAGTTGCTTGCCAGTAGAGAAGCCTTTATCATTTATGCTACTTCAAAATAAGCCAATTCTCATTGCTTAATTATTGAGAGTGATTTCCTCAATGCGTTCAATTGACTTTTAAATCCTACCTCAACTCTATAGAAATTGACAAAATTTATTCTACATATTGAAGCTCTAAAGCTGCAGCTAGGCAAATGGCAATCCAGCAAGTTCCTCATACTATTAATGAGTTAGCAGCTGGTCTTGCTAAATCTGGTATCCTACGGTTGCAAAATTATTTCTTTTAGAGTTTTTGAAGTGGTAGTTTTTTTGTTTCCACCAAGGTCTGACAGTGAATCTTTATCTTCTGCCTTGGTTTGCTCTGTTTTTACTTGTATTTTTGCTTAAATGTTCTTTGATGAAATAAAACTCTTTCTTGCTATTCATAGAAAAAAGGAAGGGGGGAGATAATAAGTAAACCCTCAAAATTTTGTTGACATTTTATTATTTTCTGTAACAGCCTGCAGAAAGATAAACCTTTGGCATCTCCCTCTTTAAATCCACCTAATATATAATCAAGTCAAAAGCGCCAAATACAGATCTCTGGAAATGTTCTACCTAATAAGTTGGCTTCTACATATAGCACTGGCATTAAATTATCTAAAGGCAGCACAATGTCAAGAAGCAATATGACAGATTAACCTCTAAAATCCAATGCCCTGAACAGAGCCAGAAGCATAAAAAGCACACCTATAATAATTACCCAAGTAATAAAATTGAATTTTTCCTTGTTCAGCATCTCAATATCACTCAATCTCTAGATCCCACAAAATGTAAATGGACTTACTCTAAAAAAAATAAAGGTAAATGATAACATTTTGTGAGCAAGACAAAAAATTTAATTTCAACAAGAGAGCATAGCATATTGAATGTCCGGCACAAGAGTAAGATGAGCCAGCAAACCTTTGTCATAGTAGCAGTAACTAAAATAGTTTGAAATCCTTGGCCATTGGGCTTTAATGCACGATTTTTTAGTGGACCAAGAAATTTGCGAATGTCAGGACCAAAGCCACGGTCAAACATGGTGTCTGCCTCATCCAAAACCTACAAAAAGATTAGCAACATCAATAAGTACATAGATCAATTAAAATTTCTTCACAAATTTACTGACACCGAGTAGATATTGTGCTAACTTGGGGTAAAAAGATACAGACACTGCTGTATAGAATAAGTAAATTCAGATATATATGTTAGGACATGTACCAAGTATTTGATGTCACCATAAACCATGTTGCCATCCTCGATATGCTGAAGAACCCTGCCAGGGGTCCCAACCACCATGTCAATTGGGTTATTCAAAGAATCCTCTTGTGGTCTCAACCTGCCTCCACCACTGACCAAGGTGGACCTAAATCTTGCATGATGGCTAATAGACTTTGCCACACGAAAAACCTAAGAGGCCCACTAATTAATAACTATAAAGGCAAAATCTATAACAATTCTGAAGTCCAAATAGCAGAGGGAGTAATGAAAACCTGCTCAGATAGCTCCCTTGTGGGGCATAGAACAACTGCCCGAGGACGCCGGGGCTTTGTTAGCATACCTAACATCGCCTCATTCAGCCTCAGCAACTGTAAGACCATTATATAAAGCCAGATTACCTTTAAATTTTTAGAATTTCCAGTACCAACATAATCCACATAAAATTGGTCTTAATGCTACAAAGCATGCAAGAAGCTATAAGCAAAATCCATCTTTACTGGTCATATGTTAAAATTTTCCAACCTACCACAAACTAAGATGGAATTGAACTGATAGAAGTAAAACACATATCTCCAAAATCCAAAATCACAATTCCAGTGCTGTGGATGCAAATGAAAACTAAGTGGCCCAAACTCAAGAAAGATATGAAAAACACACCAAAATTTCAATTGATCCATAAGGCATAATACGATAAAAATCCAAAACTTAATCCAATCAAGCGAACATCAAAACACCTCAAAATTCAATTGCATCACAAAGGAAAAATATAAGAAAAATATACCTTTAAATCACCAAAACACAATAATTAACTAAAAACAGAATGAAATGAGAAAAGGCAAACATGCAAGGAACCACAAAAGCACCTCTAAAAACAATCCAAAATTTATTCCAAAAACCAGTCAGTGATAAAAAAAACAATAAGGACAAAAGCGGACCTGAACAAGTGGCAACATGTAAGCAAGAGTCTTGCCAGAGCCAGTATGAGAACCCAAGACCACACTTCTCCCTTCCAAAACAGAAGGAATCCCAATACACTGAATCTCAGTAGGAACTTCAATCCCCATCTCTCTAACAGCACCCATCAATTCTTCACTCAAACCCAACTCCTCAAAACTCTCAACCATCCCCTTTTTCTTCTTCTTCCCCTTGTCAGAAGCCTCACCCTCTTTATCAAAGGCAGCCACTTTTTCTTGAGGTTTAGAGGGTGATGGGGTTCTAGTAGAGTCTTTGAGGTGTCTCGTTCTAAGTCTTTCAAGTAGCATGGAATGTCTCAATTGGTCAGGTTCAATGGTGGCGGGGGTCGCGGCTGTGGCAGTGCATAAAGGCTTAAACCCTGGTAAAAGCCTAGAGGGTTTAGGGAGTTTGAGAAATGGGTAGTGACAGAAGTGTTTGGTTGAAGACAGAAGAGAGATAGAAAGGAGAGTTCTTGATGCTCCTCCCATCATAGCTTTCCGCATCATGCTCTCAGGGCAGTTGGGTTTTTGTGGGTTTTATCAGGACTTTGGTATTGTCTGAGAAGGAGTTTAATGATGATGATGATGATCATGATGCGATGGTGTCCGTATATCCGTTTAGGTTGGGGTAAAGAATGGATCAGGCTTTCAGCCCAACCAGGAATACAGGTTGGCCGCGAAATGGGTTTGTAGCATTAAGTTACCCCTATCTAATACAACTATACATAAGGTTCAATTTAGTGGTGAATTTAAAATTTTACATGAGAGATGATTAAAAAATAATTAAAAAAAAATTATATTATATATATATATATATATATCAATTAAAAATTGAGGAGTGAGGATTGCTACCATCTTCCACCATTTAACTTTGCTAGTGGGGTCAAGTATCTTATATTCAGATTTGTGATGAATTTATGTAGTAATTTTACTATCTAGCTCGAGTTCAGATAAGATACAAATATCACCTTTTATATATTCAAAAACCTAAACCCCTATATTTGAATTTAGAAAGAGTTCAGGTAGTAATTTTACTATGCATCTCGAGTTCAAGTAGGATAGGTACGATACGATATCACTCTTTGGATGCTCAATATCCAATGCTTGAACCCATTTATACATATAATAATAATAAAATTAAAAATTGAGAGGTGCCAATTGCTACCACCCTCCATCCTTTGGCTCAATAAGTGAATTTAAATACCTTATATTCAAATTTGAGAACGATTCAAATAGTAATTTTTCTATTTGTCTCGAGTTCAAATAGGATTCGGATATCTTCTTTTGAATATCCAATACTCGATACTTAAACCTGTTTATAAATAAATAAGTATAAAATATATTGTATACTTTTAAAAGGAAAACCTTGACTAAACTCCTGGACAAACAATAATCTTGCGAATTTTATCAAATCTAATTTTTTAATATTTTATGAAAAGAAATTTATTTATTTTTCTCACTTAATTAAATATATATATATATATATATATATATAGTTTTGTTTTCGTCTCTAACTTTAAACAAGTATTTAATGCATTTGAGTATTTAATGAGTAATTTTAAGATATTAGAGTATGAGTTTAGATAATATTTTTAAATTTTATTAAAGTAATTTTAGGGTTTGCGTACTTCAAAATTTAAGTTTAGATACTTAAAAAATAACGGGTACCTTATCCATTGACATCTTTATTCAAAGCTAACCATGAGTTGCACTATTCTCTAATCTAATCTATTATTATAAATATATATAAAGTTAAAGTTTTTGGTAAAATAAATTTTTTTTCTAAGGTTATAGTTTAGGTGAATATCATGTTTCATCTAATTTATTAATAAATTTAATTGAATTTAATTTTAATTTCTATTAAATATTTTAAATAATTAAATAATTATATTTACTTTTTTAATAGTTTTTTTTAAATTTTATTCATTCATCCTTTATTCTTTTACTTTGTTTACATTTATTCACACTCACATATTTTCTATATTTATGGATAAATAAATGACCTAGATTTAATCATCAAGCATAAAAGAAAAAAAATTAAAATACACTTTATTTAGACATTAATATTATTGATATAAATATATTCATACAAAAAGTTTTTTAAAATTAAACATAATGATAATTATAATGAAAACTATACCATAAATTTAAGTTATTAATATACTAATATATGAATGTAAATTATTATATTAACTTATTTTTGTATTAAGTTATTAATATACTATACTATATATATTTATTAATATACAATATAGGGTTTATACGCTATAGACTACTAGACTATAATAACTTACTTTTAAAAGTTATTAATAAACTATAATAATATAATATAACTTATATTAAAATGGTAAGTTACATTAAATTATTAATATTAGTATACTATAGTAATATAACTTATATTACTAAATTAACCTATATTAATATTAGTATCATATAATAACATAACTTATATTAGTAATTAAATATAATAACATAGTAATATATTATATATTGATATATTAATGAGTTAATGCTATTATATTATAACATACAACAATATACTACATATATTATATGGTATACTTATTAATATACTAATTAATCAATAACAATATATTATTATATAGAACAATATACTATTATATAGTATATATATTATTTGACTTCTTAGTATATTTATATATTGTATAAGTATATATTAACTATACATAGTATTAGAATATAGTTATACACTATAAATAATACATCTTAATACAATATATATTATATAATTATATATTACTTATATATAGTAAACATTAATATAGTATACATTGTTTACAATTTTACATTATATAATATATATCTTAATACACTATACATAGTATACTTTTTTTTTTGAGAATTCTATATATTATACTTATTAATATACTAACTAGTCAAAAATTATATATTAACAATATACTAAATTAGTATATTAGCAAAATTATAAGTAATAATGTAATAGGTGGTAACAAATTGTACATTATTAATATATTATTAAATAAATTAAAAAAAGAAAAAAGTTAAAAAAATTCTGTTAAGTCGGTTAAAATTATTTAATTGACTAAAATTAGTTAATTTAAAGTTGGTTAAAATCATTATATTGGTTTAGTTCAATTAATTTTTTTAAGAAGGTTGATTAAGTAAGTTAATGGTATTTCTTAACAGATTTAATTGAATGCTCACCTTTACACATAAGCATGTCACATCACTATTTATCTTGACATACCAATATGTCATGTCAACATAATGTAAAATAATATAATAAGTAATGATTTAATTAACAATAATTAATCAATTGTTAATAATAAAAATTTATTTGATTTAAAAAATATATAATGATTTAATTGAACATAATAATGATTTAATTGAACATAATAATGATTTAATTGAACATAATAAAAGAATAAAAATTTATTTAAATTTTCATAAATAATTTAAGAATTTTTTTTAAATATATGACAAGATAATAATCTCTTGAACAACATATTGTATCTAAAAAAAATTATAATGTTTGAGATTCAATTAGTTTATTCATTGCAAGAGAAGTAGACAGAATTTGCTAACGACAGTTAGCTCAATAAAATAATTTTTATTTACAAATGAATGTTGAGTATTACTCCAAATTCCACATCTTTTTGAATTGAACATCTAGTCTCTCAAATGGGATGAGCTATTACTCAACCAACTAAACACTTCTCATAATATTACAGTATCCGAGCATGTTATGCCTAATAAATGAATAGGGGGAACTCTTCTTTGTCATTCGGGGGAGTAACGAAAACATGCATCAGGCAGGAGGCAAATCATCTCTACGGATTGAATCAAGCTGGATTGGTTTGAGCCTTATGAACAAATTTCAACAGGATTAATCTTCACCAGGTTCCTCTTCACCCCAGTATACACTCAACCAAAGAGAAGAACAGTACTGATTTTATGGAGCTGTCACCATTTCTCATTTGATCAACACATAGCAACAGACTTGAGATTTTGCATGAGTAGTGATTAAAGGGTAATCATACAAAATTATGAATTGAGTCATCGATTCGATTCAGGAAAAAAATTAAAAATTGAGCCTGCTACCACTTCGGTCTGCCCTTTTCAGCACAGGACTCAGACATTCAGGATCATGCCTGACTACCCTTCGCGCAGAAAAATTTTGTTGCATAATTGGAGCTCCAATGTCCAGGATCAAACAACATAGATAGAAGTCAGAACTCTCCAGCAGTTTGGTTTCATAACTAGCTTTAAAAAATATTGGTCAAATCCAAAAGAAAAACAAATGTTCTCCAACATCACAAGACAAACCCCGAATTTGAGAAGAAGTCACTTGTACCATCTAACATAAACAGAGAATTAGTTACAATTAATTTTTATGATTCAACAGATATCAAGCTGTGCACTCACTCTACCTCGAGTTACAAACCTAACATATTGTAACAATCAAGTTGAGTGCAGTACCATCCTCCTATATATGGATCCAAATTTTCCAGTCCTTAAAAAAGCGTAAAGATTAAGAGTTATAGCAACTTTTCAAGACTGTACATATGGAAGATGGAATTGCTGCTTCATACCATGGCACGGCTTACAACCAATGACAGTACTCAAGACAAATGAAGGGAATCCATTGCTTCAGCAATTTTTTTCTTCAAATCATCCAGAGACTGAGTGAGGTCAAATACCTCTTGTTGATCCATCTCCAGCATCATTGCAGCCACCTTTCCGGAATTATTTTGTTCAAGATGCTCCATAAGAGGAGATAACTGATTTCCCAACATCTGTAGTATTGGACAAAACAATATAAATATTCAAAACAAAGGTGCAGTTCAACAACGCAGATGATTTGAAACTTTTATTCATGGTCCAAAGTCTTGCAAATGATTATCTGTTTGCTAAGATGATAAAACCCGTAGAACCCTGACCAGATCATCCTACCTTTGTTATTGTTGAAGTGACTAAAACAGTTTGAACTCCAAAGTCTTTGGCTTTTGATGCACGATTCTTTATTAAGCAGAGGATCTTGTGAATTTCAGAACCAAGGCCATGATTAAACATAGTGTCCATTTCATCCAATACCTATCCAGAGACTTAGCCATCAATAAACATGCAAGATATTGAATGTCATTAAAAACAAGAGCATCCTACTACCTTTAGAAACTAGACTACTAACATATAAAGTGCAGCACAATAAAAGATTCTTGTGTTATTAAGCACTTAAAAATTTCATAGAACTACATGTTCAAATTTAGGATACTAACCAGGTATTTGATGTCATCAGGAACAACACTTCCTTCCTCAATGTACTTAATAGTCTCACTAGGAGTTGCAACAAGCATGCCAATTGAGCCATTTGGAAAATTCTCTGAGGTTCTTGATTTGCCAGAACCACCTTCCATGGCAGATTTCAACATCGCATGATGGCTGATGCAGCCTGCTACTTGAAAACCCTGCATGATCATTTGATTTAATTGCAAACTCCTACTGATGGAATTCGTATGAGCAGCAAATCCAACTCAAGAGTTCGTTCATATGGGTGCACAAAACAGTATAATCATCAGAGCAGATACATAAATAACTTATATACAAGATGCCAAGTGGGCGGATTGGTTTGAGTGGAGGAAAAGATGAAGGATTCAACTCAAAAATTTTTCTCTGGATATCCATTTTCTTGGAGAAACAAACAAGATATCTCAACACAATAGCATCTTGATGCCAAAAAGAATGAAAAAACAAAAATCTACGCAATTAAAAACAAAGATTTATGTCCAAGAAATTATTATATTAAAAGAATGCATAGGAGGTGTTAAGGACCTGGTCGCATTGTTCTTCTGAGGTGCATAAAACAATAGCTCGGGGATGCTTTGGCTTCACACTTAGCAATGCCTCATCCTGTCTCAGAAGCTGTTCAGCAATATGTAAATATTTGCTTGTAACCTTTTATTGCAAACATTTGGCTGTTATCTCAACATAAGTAGGTTAACTTTTATTATGCATATAAAAAATTGGTAAATAATACTAGGAATTAAAATGTTGAATTCACATGACGGTTAATTTATGGAGGGAAGTATCCTGACATTGGAATACTGCAAGTTTCATGAATTCAACAAAAAGAAATCAATGATTCAAAAGCGTAGATATAGAAATACCACAATCCACAGCATACTCAGCATGTACAAATATTTGTGACAAACTTAAATCATTTAAAAAAAAAGAATCTGGAAACCAATGGAGTTAGAAGCTTGCAGCAGGGCAACCAGTTGTTTGAATTTGAACTTTGATTTCGATGCACAAGCCATAATTTTAGCTTCTACGCTTACATTTCTACTTGCGTAGCTTCAGTTGCAAAGTACAACTTTCAAAAGGGAAAAATAGCATTTATAATTAAAGTCATTGACAAACAAAATCGTCAGTTCAGTCAGTGTGATGACAAAAGTGAATCGCGAGCACCAAAGCAAGCATCAAATACTAAAGTTGAACAGGTACCACTAAACAAATGCAAATCAAAGACGCTTTTCTTTTCTAATCTCTTCGCCATCAAAAGGGGGAGGGGGGTCACCTGAATAAGAGGCAACAAGTAAGCCAAAGTCCTTCCGGACCCAGAGTCAGAACTCAAGACCACACTTTTCCCATCCAACAAAGCCGGGATCCCAACGCTCTGAATTTCAGAAGGAACCCATATTCCAATCTCACTCAAAGCCCCAGTTATCTCAGCTTTCAAACCCAGTTCTTGGAAACTAGAAACAACCTTAGTAGCACCACTCTTGTCATTCTCAAAACCAACTTGTTCGCTTTCTCTTGCCTTTTCAACAACAGTAGAAGTAGATTTTGGTGGTGATGATTGTTGTTGTTGTTTACTTTTGGACTCTGAGTTGCTTTTGAGGGAACCTTTGAGATGTCTTTGTCTGAACTGCTCAAGAATGAGGGCGTCTCTCTTGGATTTTGGAGAAAAAGATTGTTCCTTTTCTGTTTCACTGGTGGCCTTAGCGGTAGAGGAAGAAAGAGGCCCAATCAGCGAAAAGGGCTTGATGGATGTAAATTGCTTGGTTGAAGAAACAAGTTCAGAGGAGAGAGCAAGACTGCCAAGGGCAAGCGGTTTGATTGCTCTTTTCATGGCCTGCCGCTGTGTGTTATTGTTTCTGGTTTCTATGTCACGTTTGTTAAGGTTGGGTTCTATTAGTACTAGGACAGCGGCGAAAGAGTTGCTGGTTTCTTGGCCGCAGGTGCTTCAAGTGTTGCAGTGCAAATATGGTTTGAAAATAATAAACAAATAAAATGGTATTAAAAAAATATTTTTATTAAATAAAAAATAAAATAAAAATATTGCCCACATATATTTTTACATATGCACTTAATTAAATTACAATAGTATTGTTAATATAATTACATGATTAAGGATTTAAATGTTTTATTATTATGTTATTGATAAAATCATATATGACTTTTTTAATAATAAGTGTACCGATTAACTATTAATTTCATAATGGTAACCAAATAAACTGTATAATCAATGGTAATTAATTATACTATTATTATTTTTATAATTTTTAAAAAATAAACAAGTGAAAATTACATAATAAAATAATATACCTAATTATGTAAAATATAATAGGATTAAATAATGGATTTGAAATATTTTCTTACTTTACACGTAGGACATTTATTTTATGAAAAGCAATATAATGTATACAAATTATATTCATGCATAATTGTATTTTTTTATTATGTATATTTTTTAGGTTAGAGATTAGAAATTATCTTTCATGGAGAGATATTTAAATATACTTTGTTGGATTTGGATTGTAATGTATGCTTATGATTGTGTAAGTTATGGATTTTAAAAATTTTTAGTTATAGAAGTAATTTATCAATTCACACAAGCAAAAATTCACAATTATATACAATGCAAATCAAATAATAATCGCATCAATATAAAAGAATAAAAAAAGTTAGAGATATTACTTATTTTGTGCCAAGAATATATTTGATTCTTCTCTCCTAGTTGTTGGTTCCGTTGGTATGCTAGAGGGACTGAATAGCACTACAAAATTTTAAAGCTAGCCCTTTTTAGCTTGTAGAGCTCTTAATCAATTAGAGTAAAACAAATTTAAAACTTGTTATAATTAAAAGACACTAAGTAACGAAGGGTAGAGGGAAGTGGACAATGTACAAGTATTTATAGTGGTTCTGTCTTATTAACTTACATTCATTACCTTAACCTCCCAATCAAGGATTTTCAACCTAGTTTCACTATACCAGTCGAAGTAATAGCTTCCACCAAGCTTTTACAAAGTAAGCTTCTAATCCAAGTTCTAATATTTTACAATAAACTTTAAAGTGCTTCTCACACTCTAATTTCTCAAGGAAAAAAAAAGAAAAAGAAGTACGTTTGATTACCTTTACATATCTAGAAAGATTGTAATCAAGCTCAAACACCTCTTTAAGAATAAGAATGAAGAATAAGCCTTTTTGGTGAAGGTTCTTTGGCTTTTTGCTCAAAACGTCTCTTTTGTGCATTAATCTTACTTTATTTGATCGTTAGAGCTTTCTTTTATACTTTGAGAGTCAGATTTTACTGTTTAGGATAGATTTTAGCCGTTAGGAACAACTCTGAGGTCATTCTAGTCATTATCTTATTCTCTAGCATTTAAACCCAACTAGGCAGATATAGTTCTACTAACTAGTTACGAGCACGCTTTAACTGATTACACCTCTTTTGCCTTGCAATGTTTGGCTACTCTGTTCACTGCGTTAACTAGTTAAAGGAAATTCTAATCGATTAGAAACCTTTTATTTTCATTTTTCTTTACACAACAATCTTTCTTTGATTGGTTAACTCTCCTTTTAATTGGTTAAAGCTTCACTTCCTTCAACCTTAATCGATTAAAATTAGCTTTAATTAATTAGAAAATCTTCAAATTTTGAATTTCTCTATATTGACTCTCTTCAACAATCAACCTTCTTTCAAATTTCATTTTAGTGCTTGAAGGTATTAAGGCCTTGTGCTTTAACCGATTAACATGACTCTATTTTCGATTTTCGGCACCTCTTTAATTAGTTAACCCCAGTGCTAACTTATTATAACTTTTCTGTCTTGCTTTTACCTAGTGCCCAGTTATGCCTTAATTGGTTAAGGCTCTTTGTTAATCAGTTACTAATGTTCTATCTTCACTAATCACTTTTTTCTTTTTTTCTTTAACTGATTAACTTTTCATTAAATTTAGCAACCATCTTAACTTGTCTTTAATTAACAAATTTGATAAAGGAATTAAACTATATCCTGTACACTTAAATAGTAAAGTTAGACATTGATGAATAAGGAATGTTTTGTTATCATTAAAAACATATGGAGTCAACATTCTCTCCCTTTTTTGATGATGACAAAATATTCCTAAATTAAGAGTGCAATGTCTTTAAACCTATAAAATCTATGTGCAAATTTAGGTATTGCTCCTTCTAGATATGTGCTTCCCCTTAATTTGTGCATTGAAAAAAGGAAAAATGATAAATATTCTATATGTTTGAGCATTAAGAACACTAAGTGTATATCTATGCACATATTTATTCATATGAAAAATAAACATTCAACTTAAGAGCATAGATATAATCATCTAACATAATCATATCCTTAACACATTATTCAATCAATATTTCAGCATACAAATGCAGCATAAAACATAAACATTGTTTAAAAACATAGCATAAAACATAAACATTGTTCAACTTATTCTATCCTTCTATTTTCTTCCCTTTTTTGTCACCAATCAAAAGAAGGGCCTAAGGTTGCATTTCATTTAATCAAAATCTGATGAAGAGTCATATACTAATGATTCATTAGTTCCTAGGTGAACGTCTAGAGGAGTAACATGAAGGGAATGAAGAGATTCAGGTTCAAATGAGGAAGAGGATCTAGATGATATAATTTCAAGGGATGCTGGGTTAAAGGTTAGTCTAGCAGTGGATTCAGCTATCCTGGCAGATTTCCTTCCTTTGAATACCTTGATCTTTGTGACCATTGTCTTTTTTCCCTTCCTAGAAGTTTTCTTAGCTAAAGACCCAGTGGCTGTTGTTTTTTCCCTTATCCTAATCTGTTTGGCCTGTAATTTCCTTTTATTCTTTTGAGCTGATTATGCCTCTTGCTCCATCTTTTCTCTTGATTTTTGCTAGTCAACTTTAGCTTCTCTTAGTAATTTAGCAATGAATTTTGACACCTCTATCTCCTTAGATTCTATAGGTGATTTGTCATCTTTTCTTAATGTTGCTGACTTTCCTTTGTAGACACCTCAATTTGTCTGGCTGTAGCAAACTTTCAAAAATAAATAAAAAATAAGAAAATCAAGAAAATATAAAGAAGAGAAAAGATAAATATGAAAGATAAAATATGTTTACATTAATCTTACTTCTAGATTAAGTTTTTTTTTAAAAAGATTAAGATTGAATTGAAACTCAAAGACCAATTTAAATAGAAGTGCAACATATTGGCTATAAATATAGCTAAGTCTTGATTAGAGAAGAGGGACAATAAAAAGAGTGGTGGAGTTTCTTGAGTTTTGGAACTTTCGATTTTTCTAGATTTAGGAAAATCTACTTATTTTATAAAGAAACTATTTCGATTAAAGGGATGAGAGAATTGAGAGGATTTTTTTAAGAAGATTTGGAAAAATTTCATAGCCGATGAATGGCGGTCGACAAAGTGACCGGCGATCGAAATTGGGAAAAAGGAGAGATTTCTTTTCTTTAGAGGGAGAAACTCTCCATTAGAGAGAGAAGAAGTAGTAGGAAATAAAGGAAAATAGGCAAAATGGAGCTTTTATACTATAAGCTAAATGACGTAGTTTTGTTTTAACTAAAAGGAGGAAGTTTCATGGGTTGAATCTCATTGATTCGGCCCATTTTTATTATTTTGGCCCATTGCAACTTATTTGGGTAACTTTGACCCAATAGCTTGGTTTTCTTTTTAGGTTTCTTAACCCAATTAGGTGAGTTCTTGTAATTTTTTATTAATTTATTTTTAAATATCTTGAATTATTTTCTTTTATGTTATTTTATTTTATTTATTTATTTATTTGTTTTTTGATCTTTCAAAATTAGGAGCTAATACATAATTTATGTAAGTTATCCAATGATCAAATCTCAAGAAAACTAACGGTGGCTTCTTGGAGATTTTTAGGTGAGAAAATTTTTCAAAATTTTACCATAAGCATTTGGGAGATTTTGAGAAATTTTTAATAACGAGATTTCTATTTATAATATATAAGGAACATAAAAATTGACTATTGAACCAAAATAAAATTAAATAAATAAATTCTCTAATGATAAATGTCAAGAAAACTGAAGGTGACTTCTTGAGAATTTTTAGGTGAGAGAATTTTTTAAAATTTTACCATGAGTGTTTGGGAGATTTTGGGAAATTTTCAATATTAAGAATTTTTATCTATTTCAAAAAACTAATAAAATAAAATAGGAAAAGAAATAAATTGAAAGATAAAATTATAAAATTAAGCAAATAAGTTCTTCAATGATGAAATCTCAAGAAAAGTGGCTTTTTAAGAATTTCTAGGTGAGAGAATTTTTAAAATTTTACCATGAGTATTTAGGAAATTTTGAGAAATTTTCAATATTAAGAACATTTATGTCTTTCAAAAAAACTAATAAATTAGAAATATGAAAAGCAAATAGAAACAAGATATTGAACCAAATTTTATTTAATAAGGCTTAAAAGGACACATAATTGGTAGGGTACCAATTAAATGGGCGTTGTGGGGGTGTTAATACCTTCCTCACACGTAAAGGACTTCCGAACCTAATTTGCTTCATAGACTAGAACTTATTATTTTTTTAATGAGCATAAGTCAAGCCTAAGATCTCTAAAAGAAAAAAAAAATCACTGGGGTGGTAACTTGTACTTAAACAAGAAAAGATTGATGGCAACTCTTTTTAAAGTCAAGCTGTTGAGTTTTAGGACTCACTATGTTATGACAGCTTAGCAACTCCACTAGGGATGCTTAAAAAGTTTAGCCCATAATTAGTTATGTGTGAAAGCCTAGTTTATAGTAGTTTTATTTTATTTTTCTTCATTTTGTCTTTTTTTTTCAATAGTTCAATTTTTAATTTTAATTCCTTTTATTACGTTCTTTTTCTCTTTTTATGTATAACATGTTTTTTCCACAAACTCACCTTGCATACATGCATAAAGCCTGCTACTCAGGCTTTGTCCTTTTTAGGAGGAAGTAGAGTATCTTTGCCCTCGTGAGGTGATAACCTCTACATGGGCCAGTGAAATACTTCCACTCAGATTGAACCCTTTTTGTTAGTAGCCTATGATGGGTGAGAATTAGGTGTCTTACTAGTCTAGAATGGATGACAGTGAGGAACAATTTGGGAACCTTTAACCTTGTGTTAAATCCTAGCCCACATATAGTGAACCATAAGAGCCAACCTTAGACAGAGCCTTCTTATCTTATTTTTAGAAAACATCAAGATTGGTACACATTCTAATTTTGTTATGATATTTGTTTTTGTAATTATTAGTTCTTGTATATATTAACCCTTTTGCTTTACTTTACAATCATGCATTTGCATCAGGAATTCATCACATAAGGTATTTGCCACGTGACGATACATGATGAAAGCAACTTCTGTTACATTCATGGAACGTTCACCTTTTGATTTGAAGCTTCAATCAGAAGAGATACAACAAAAGAAGGGTGACTGCTTGGTAGATGGTTATATTTCCACTCTCCCTAAAAAGATTCATCTCGTTCTTCAACAAAATGATTCTTTGAGTTGCTTAAAATATAGAGGTTATGGAAGAAATTGCAACAAGACAAGTTCCAATAGAAGTATGGAATATGCATCACTACTTCAAGTTAGTCTAAATGATCAAATAATTTGAGTTGTAATCCAGTTTTAGGATCTTTCATATAGATGCTTTGTCTTTGATAAGGTGGATATGAGTCCAACTATTGAAGAATATCCAATTTTACTTTGTCTAAATATCTTTGATTTATTTAAGGTATATTGGAGAAAGAGAAAGCCCGCTTGTTGCAAAACACTTGCAAAAATAATGCAAATCAATCTTTTAAGAAGTGAATGCAAATAAAATTCATAAAGGAGAAAGTATTTGCATATCATGGAGTGTTCTTCGAGACTTTATCATAAAGCATTTAGAGGATGAGGAAGGTATAAGTATGATGGCTTTAGCAATCTATGGGTTGAACATTTTTCCAAAGGTGTTGGGACACATTGAAATGAGAATATGTAGTGACCTTTTCCTCGATCGCTACCGACGTCTGAGTCTCGCCGGAGAACTCGCCAAGTCTCGAACAAGCCTGACTTAAATCGTTAGCTACTAGTTCATATTCATGCCATCAATCAAATCAAATCACTAGTAGAGTGTTTGTGCCTTGTAAAAATGAAGCTATAAAATCATCATTATACTATTTTACTTAGCAAAACGGTGCCGAAAGCAAATATAACGAAATTAAGTTTAAACATCAAAAACATTGCTTGCCGTAAAAATATGAACAACAATATAAAGTATGCACGCTCCCAAAATGTGTGGCATGTAAAGAAATCAAAGTGTATGGCCACATAAACCATCTCATGTTCGTTAAATAAGCACTGAAAGCTTTTATTCGAACCAAGGGAGTTGCAAAGAAATCTTAACTCTCCACCATGCAAAAGAGTATGCGTCGAAAATTCACAAGGCTCTCGAGTAGGTAAGTATCATAATCACCCGTGGATCCATTTCCACGTAATAACATCTGAGAGCTTTTCTCCTCCGTAGCCATGGCAGTCTTGACGCTGTTGGCCGACATCGGAGAAATTAAGTGGTTGCAACCACGAATGTCACTTGTGGCCTAGCCACATATAACAACCTATGGGCTTGCCACGTATATCACAGACTATGGCCTCAGCCATGTCTAATAGCCTATCAGCGATCCAAAGGTTCTCTAGCTAGAGCTCACTTGTGCATAAGGGTCACACTTAACCGAAGTGAGAACCGACCTACTCTCAACGCTCTCAATTTGTCAAAACCATTTTAGAAACCAAATCAAGTTTTCTGAGGCTTTTCCTTTAAATCAATTGAAATCAAAGTTTAATAATCCTTCAAATAGCTTTTCACATTAAATGGCATAGTGAAAACACTTTGCACAAAGATCATAATAAAATCGATGCTCAAACTTGCATTTTAAATCATTTGACAAATGCATTTAGCTATGCATATCACACAAAAATACAAGGTACGGATTTTGATTCAAACATTGTAAAAGGCTTGTTTCTCGGTTTCTAAAACTCTTTACATATATAGCTTATCTATAGATATATCCAAATCACTTTAAAAACACTTGCGTCCACAATTTCCTATAGTTTCTACCAGCTCATACTTTTCGTAATAGCAATAGATAAATCATTGTAAATCCATTTTAAAAATGGCCTATCAAGGCTAATAGCTCATGCTATCCACAAATGCAGTTAAGGAAAACCAACGACATTTATTAACGTAAAACAATATATAGTATGGAGATTTTAAAATTAACACACCCCACTCACCTTACAATAGCGGGACGCTATGTCGCTATTGACTTAAGTGCATATCTGCTAATTCTACTTGCCAGTCACCTGTTACCTCTAGCACGCCACTACAATAAACATTTCCTAGCAACAAATTAAACTTAATATGCTTAATCATACACAGATACGAGCAGCAGCTTGATTAATGATTCTTAAACCAAATTTAATATTTTTCATCAACCTCAACCGTAAGCATTTTAACAAGCATTTCACATATTATCAACTGTTCATAACCAATACAACACAATTTAAACACATTGCATGCTCACCTCTCAGTTTTAGCTTGAGTCTTGCATATGATTCACAATTTCCTCCCATCCATGGTCATCATTGCTGCCACAAACAAAAACAATTAGCACACATCTCATTTCTCTTGTTTACTTGAGCAGGACTAAAATACTCACCCATTGCTTAACTCTCTCAAAAATCACCATGCATTCCAACATTGATCCACATGCATGCATCTATTTCTTTCAAATCTTGGAGAACCTTTGTTGCCACAAACATTCTCACACAATTACCAACTCATTTCCTCAAGAAATCATAACCAAAATCAAGGTTCTACTTACCTTCCTTAGCTTGGAATCACTAGGCCGAACCTCTCATGCCTTCCTAAAGCTCCAACCATGGCATGCAAGAGAAAACCTTTCAGTTTTTCTCCTAACTTCCACAAATCCGAGCCTCCTCCAAGCCTTTTTCACTCAACTCTTTCTCTCCTCTCAAGTGGAAGCCTCACAAGGCTATTTTCCTTCCATCTCTCTTCCAAATAGGCAGATCTCTCAGGGAACTCACTTGTTTTCTTCGCATTTTTTTTCTAAAAATCGAGCCTTTCCTTGCATGTTGCTTTTTTTCTTTTTTCTCTCTTCCTCTCAGGTGGTGGACAAAACAAGGGAAAAATGAGCCTTAATCCCATTTTTCTTGTTATGGGCGGATTGCCCAAGGAAATGGCAACATTTCCTTTCATTTCATCTCAATTTACATTCATTTCCTCTCCTTTAATTTCCACTTGTCATCCCTCATTTGGCCACTTTATCACCCAATATTGTTTCATGCATATTTTCTTTACCAATAGCCTTTGCCATCCCATGAACCAATAAGGCTTCATGCATTTTTTCACTCTTGAATCCTATTTGACCTCCCTCAAAACCAATAAGATTTCATGAAACTAAATTATTCTTTCTTTTTCT